AGCACGAAGTTGCCTACAGTTGGCTACGGGCATTCAAAATGTGGCCCGGGAATGGAGTTCTGGGAACTCGAAGAGCACGAAGTGGCCTACAGTTGGCTCCGGGCATTCAAAATGTGGCCCGGGAATGGAGTTCTGGGAACTCGAAGAGCACGAAGTGGCCTACAGTTGGCTCCGGGCATTCAAAATGTGGCCCGGGAATGGAGTTCTGGGAAGTCGAAGAGCACGAAGTGGCCTACAGTTGGCTCCGGGCATCCAAAATGTGGCCCGGGAATGGAGTTCTGGGAAGTCGAAGAGCACGAAGTGTGTGACTGTTGCATCCGGTTATTCTAAATGTGGCCCGGGAATGGCGTTCTGGGAACTCGAAGAGCACGAAGTGTGTGACTGTTGCATCCGGTTATTCAGAATGAGCCTGGGAATGGAGTTCTGGGAAGTCGAAGAGCACGAAGTGTGTGATTGTTTGTGAAAAACGAAGTGGGCACAGCCCGCCCGGCAACTCCCAACACCTGCCCGGACCCCCCTGTGGAGTGATCTGTGAGCTCTTTTTAGACCACTAGAAACCTATCAGTCTTCGCTGTTAGGTAAAAATATAAATAAAGAGCGAAAGCGAAAAGAGAGAAACATACATATTATGTGAAGATGGGTGTATCATACAGCTACATAATTATACATATACGTGTATTTAAACATATAACTACTGCCTAATCTGACTGGCGCAATAAAGCGAAAGAGGCAATTAAGCGAAACACCCGACAACCAACCCCTGCGACAAGGTTGTCGTTGGAACCCTGTCAATGACAACCAACCCCTGCGACAAGGTTGCCGCTGGAACCCTTTCAATGACAACCAATCCTCTCATTCTTCTGAAGTTCTCTCTTTCCATGTTTTGTTTGCCTCTCTACGTTTATATGTCTCTTTGCGCGGCGCTTATGCAGTGCTCAGCGACGCGCTGGCACCTACTCCCCGCTACCTCGGGTGCCCAGAAATGAGCACTGACCATCGCCATGGTTGCCATCCGTGGTCGCCCCACCATGCGCCGTCCTGGTCGCCCCACCATTTTCGATCCTTGTCGCCCCACTTTCCACCCTCGCCGTGGAAATAATTGCCTTGCTCGCCGCTGCCGCGGCTGTTGGCCCTTTCGCCAGGTTGGTGCTCATGCCGCCCCCCATTGCCACCTGGAGCCACCTCGCCCGCCGCGCCTGGCCAGACTCGCCCACGAAGATCATCGAGGGCACATGCGCGCCGCGCTTGAAGAACTCGCGCTTGGGGTGGAACTTGTCGAGGTCTACAGGCTTCTGTTTCGACGCGGGCATATAGCGCGAAGTCCACGAAACGAACCACGGAAGGGCCCACTCGGAAGGGGAACTTGGTCTTGTCGGCCGAAGCGCTTCGCGAAACCTCCGCCACCGCGGATGAAGCCTCATCGAAGACAGGCGCGAAAAGTCCACTTTACGCAGTGTTCCCGGCGCGCTTGCAATGTCGGGTGGTCGCTGCGAAGCGGGAACCCCTGGCCCAAGAACGGCGCGTCCTTGATGGGCCAGGGGCGCCTCCCGATCTCATTTCTGTTCTGATCGAAAGAGGTCTCCATCATCATGGAGCACTCCTCTGGCAGGTCGGAACCATCGAGCCTGGGCGCGGAGATGCCGTGGCGCAACCGAATGCCTGAGCATGGTCCCAAGCGAAACGTGGCGCACGAGTCCGCCCGGACGTCGGTTCCGCGCCCCTGCTTCAAGCGGCGCCGCGCTACCAGGTTGACATCGGCGCCTCGGGCTCGTAGCTCAGGCGCCGCGCAGAAGAGCGCCACTTCGAAGTCCCCGCAGAGGATCGAAGGGCGAAGCTCTGCCGGGGAGGGCGCGAGACAATCCCAACAACGTTTGCGCGCCTCTCGATTGCCGTGAAGGTCGCGCTTCGCCGTTCTGAAATTCAAATGCGCGTTCGCCAGACGGAACTCATCTGCGCCCTGGCCGGCGTCGCCCCCCCCCGCCGCCGCGGGCATTCCAAAACCGCATCTTCGCAGATGCGATCATTCTCCAGCTTGCAGCGATCTCTGTAGTCCGCGGCTGCGCTATGCTCTTTTGAATGACGGAATAGGTTTCGCATTGGGCCCCGTGGAACAATAGAAGCCGCACCCCTGTCACCAGGGGCTCTCTTGCGCAGATTGGAAGGGCGCTTCCCGTTTTCGCGCCTGCAACTCCGATGAATTTGCGCGGTTCGCGCCCCATCACCACGGATGCGGAGCCGCTCGTCGCAGGACCCCCCCCCCCCCCCCCACAAACAACAAACAAACAAAAATCAAACAGGTCTGGCGCGGCCCCCATGAGCGACAAAGAACTGGCACGAGGAGCTTTTGAAGTCACGGACCACGTGCTCACGCATTCCCGCCTCGCGCAATTTCCCACCCCAGTTGGCGGTCAAGACGCCAAGGGTGCCCAGCTTGGTACTGCAGCCTTTCCCCTTGTCATGCGCGCCGCCGCCGTGCCCGCGTCGCAGTCCGTCGCGCCTGCCCACTCAGGCTTGAAAGAGAGCTCTGCGCATTCCTCGTAGTCATCGCCGAAATCAGGCGGCAGATCGCCCGGCAGGCCGGATGCGTCCGTGGGCGCGCAAGTGGGCAGGCTTCTTCCGTCAGAGTCTGCGTCGCCATCGTCGCGCCAATTGCCGCGGAGACGAGTTAGCTGCAAGCCAGGCACGCTGAAGCGCGAAAGCTAGGACTGGGTCCCTGGGCCGCAACAACTTCTCACGAACCTGAAGTACTAGTTGGGCGACCGCGAGGGAACGCGGGGGCGCGGCGGCGAGGATGGGATTTGGGAGGGGGGGGGGGTGGGGGGAGGGGGCGCGCCCGGCGAGGGAATCGCAATCAATTGCGCTGGAGGGGCGCGTCGCTGTCGCCACCCTGCTTACATGATGCGCGTGTATAATTATATCTATCTATCTCTCTATATATATACACACACGCACACCAACCGCGCCTGGACGAGGAGGCCGAGGGCGAGGGGAAGGAGGGAGAGAGGGGGATAATGACAAAAAATAAACGGATGATGACAATGAGGGCGAGGTGGTTTATGCGGCGAGAGCATGAGCGCGCGCGAAGAGGCTCGCAGCTTTTTTTTTTTTTTTTTTTTTTTTTTTTTTTTTTTTTTTTTGTTTTTTTTTTGTTTTGTCAGGTGCGTTCCAGCTGTGACAGCTGCGTTCCACCTGCGCGTTCGGATCACCGCCGCCGCGGAGTATCCCAAGGGCGCTTCAGCGCTGGCATCGCCAAGGCGGGCACATCAGTAAAACAGGAAGCGCATCTCTTCTACCAGTTACCAAGTCGCCCACCACCTTTTGCACAACCTCAACAAACAACTGCCCCCACTTCTCTCCGTGGGTAGCAGCCATCTTGATGTCCCATTGTGACTTGCAGAGGTCACATTGGCTTGTTTGCTCTGGCGGCAACTCGGCTGCTTTCCGAAGAGCTTGCAATATGTGCAGGCGCGCTTTGCGATGAGTCTGGTTCCCACCACCTTCCATTCCGCGGCCCAACGTCTCCACATAAAAAACTCTAACATGAGCCATGGCCGTCGCCGCGGCGTCGGCCCCCCTCTGCTCCTTGCGAGCTTGTTCAAGAGCCGCTGCCGCATCCTTCAACGCCTGCTTCACTCGCTCACTTTTTCGTCATCGCCATCTGGCCGACTCTTCGATGACGCATTCCCCGCCATCACCATGGCTCTCCGGTTGACCACCCAAATGGTTGCTCAGCGCTTCTTCTGGATTCACCCAATCTGCGGCATCGAACTCCATGGTCTCCTCCTCTTCGGCCTGGTCGGGCGCCGCTTGCTCCTCCTGCCGGGCTTCGTTCGTTTCCCAGGGAACTCCATCTGGGTCGGGCGTGACTTCGTCTTCTTGGTCATATTTGATCTCATCGAGGTGGCCCCGTTTAGGATGACGCGATGAGTGGCTGCGCTGTCTGGCGCGTCCAGGGCCAAAGACCAGCCCAGCGGCTGACTTTCCCGAGACATCCGCCGCCGCGGAGTCCAGGCGGCTTCGCATGCCCACAACTCATCCCAAAAGTCTGTTGCGTCTCTGCACATCATATCATCTTCAGGCCCGTCCAAGGCCACCGTCGCACCAGTGAGTGCGCATCCTCTACGCGCCTGCGAATAGAGAGCCGGATCGGACATGGTGTTTGTCATGGTGTCAATTTGCTCTTTTTGGTAAAATCTATCATTCCGCCGCCGTGGCGGCGCTCTCTGGGATTTTTCACTGTTTCCAACTCAATGAATCTCCAGCGGGCGTGCCCATGGAGGTCGGCGTCATTTGTCTGCAAGACCATGGGGGCCCCACCGCCGTGAGTCACGCAGCGCAGATGCACCCTTTGCTCCAACGCCAGCGCTGCGCCTTGCGGCGAGTCCTGGAGCGCACGCATCTAGCAAAAAAAAACTCCCACTGCCTGCCAGGGCCCCGCGGCTCCAGCCACTCGCCCAGGAAATCCGCGCGCCCCGCGCTGGAACATTAGGCGGCGCTCCGGCTGCGAAGAGAAGGGCGATGGAGGAGAGCTCGCGCATGGCATCCTCTGTCGCGACGCCAATTCAGACGCCGCGACAGAGGGCGCCAGTCCAGGGGCGATGACAGAGGGGGGGCGATGGAAGAGGGCTCGCGTGGAGGAGGGGGGCGCGACGGAGGGCCGCGGCGGGGCACGGCGGAGCCCGCGCACTTCAAGATGTCGCGTTCTTTGCACGACCCGCTCGGGCACGTCGCCGCGGAGAACTTGAGAGGCACATCCTGCGAGTGGACGCGTGCGCGCATCTTGCGTTCCACGTGATTTCCTTCCGCCTTGAACATGAGCTCCAACCCTGGTACTTGCTGCAGAATTCTCCCCTTGCAAGAATCGGGGACCGAATTCAAGCTCCACCGCCCCCTCGTCGCCGCATGTCTTTCGCGTAAAGGGGCCGTCAGCGCGCCCCTGACAGTGAGCGCGTTGCATTGGGCGCCCCCTGCCTCGTTCATGTGAAAGGGGCTTCAACGACGTTCCGCATGCGCGGGTCGTGCCCGAGGTGCAGCGAGACCAACTTGCGCAGTGCCGCCGCCACGGTCAAACAACTTGACAAACGCCCCGGTAAAACTGCGCGCGGCAGCTCGAATTTACGATTCGGCTTCCGCGACGAAATCCCGTACTCCGCCATCCACCTGTTCAGCCACTTGCCATCGATGGTTACAGTCTCCGCGAGTATTCCCTTTTGCAAGCAAGACACGAAGTAACATTGTTGTAGATCAAATGCTTTCATCCGCAAGCACTGCGTTGGGAAAAGGCACGTGATCTCTACGTCCACGCTGTGGCGCGCGATGCTGGACCATTCGGCCAATTCCACCCGCGAGGTGTTGCGCTGCCTGGGTCTGCCACCGCGCCGCGCCCTACGCCGGACATGGTCACGAACTGCCTCGTCGACGCGGCTGAATGCGTCCCCCGATAGCTTCTCTTCCCCCGCCCTTCGAACGCAGAAACACATTCACCCCCCGCCGCCGCGGAGTTTCCCAAGAATGCGCCCCCCGCGTCGTCTTCAAGTAAATGCCCGCGGCGCCCGCGTACATCCTCGGGATGCTAACGTATTTCGCGCCTCTCGTTCGTTCCCCGACTGGCTTTGAGGGGGCGGGGTGCGCTTTCACGCAGGGGCTGAAAAGACCTCTGAGAAAAGCGCCGCGCTGCATCAGGCTCTTCGTCTGATCGTGCAATGGGCTTCGGTTGCTGCGCGCCCGCCGAATGCATTCCACGCAACGTCGCCAAGACAGCCCGACTGCCCATGTGACGCAGCATGTACTCACAATTCACAGCGCAGGGCGCCCCGGGTCTTGCTGCTGCGGACCCAGCCCAGCACGGGACACATCACGTCGAGGCAGCAGTCTCCATCTGCCACCGCTTCCACGGCGCGCAGAGAACGAGACAACTATATCGCAGAGATCAAGCGACATTGCTCACGCGCGCTGTCTGCCAGGCACGTGGCGTCGGCTACTAGGCCGCGATCACCATGGATGTCATCCACAGGGGAACCCGCGACCAACTGATTTGTTTGCTGGCCCGCGTCGCCCACAGCACTGAGGCTGCCATCGTCGCGCAGGGCGCAAGATGGCGCGGCATTTCGCAGCGCCCATCACGGCGTCGTTTGCCCATGCGGCGCAACGCAAGGCGTCTTCAGAACGGTCGCCGTGCCACAACGTGGCGCGCGCAATAGCACAACGAAGATGCGATTACCCCAGTGCGACCCTATCTAGAAGTTGGAGCCCCTAGAAAAGCAGCATTAGCTGCTATGCGATGCTATGCTATGCTATGCCGTGCTATGCTGCGCTATGATATGTTGTGTTATGATATGCGATGCTGTGCTGCGCTATGCTATGCTATGCTATGTTGTGATATGATATGTTACGCCATGTCATGCTGCGGTGTGCTAGGCTCAAATGTGATATGCTATGCTATGCTGAACTGCGCCATGCTATGCTATGCTCTGCTAAGATATGCTCTGCTATGCTATGCGGTGCTATGCTGCGCTGTGCAATGATATGCTCTGATATGCGTGGCTATGTTATGTTATGCTATGCTATGTTAATGCAGCGCTGCGCTATGCTAAGCTCAGCTAAGCTAAGCTAACCATCTAGGCAGAGCCTTGGTAGGGCATTACACCCATGCTACACAGCCGCCCCATGCTCGCTGATGTTGAGTTGCCTTTGCTGCGCTGATATGCAATGCTCTGCTCTGCTACGCTATGCTTTGCCATGCTGCGCTGGGCTATGGTGTGCTGTTCTGCGGTAGGCTATGCTATGATATGCTATGCTGTGCTATGCTAAGCTATGCGGGACGATGCTATGATATTCGGTGCTGCGCTATGCGATGCTACGCTATGCTATGCTGTGCTCTGCTAAAGCTCAGCGAAGCTAATATGAAGGTAAGCTGAGGTGGGATAAACCTGAGCTAAGATGAAGCGCAGCTAAGATAAGATGCAATAAGCTAAGCTGAGATGAAGTAAGCAACGCTAAGCTGAGGGGGCGTAACTTGGGGAACCGCGGGGCGGATCCTGGGGGAACCGCCCGAGGCGGCGCGCGCTGCCCGGCCCCTTTCTAGGCAGAGCCTAGGTAGGGAACATACATACCGATCCCTACGTAGGCTCGAGGCTTCGCCATGTCTGACACGAATTTTTTAATCTCGGCTGCAACCTCAGCGTTGTACAGCCCACTGGTTGCCACTACCATGTCTATGGCATCCTCTTCGACGGCTTCTTTCGAGGGCCCCGCGACCGTGGGCCCTGGCGCGGCGACGGTCGAAGGCCCCGCAACCGCGGGCCCAGGCACGGCGACTACTACCGCCAGGCACTGGCCCGGTGCTGGCTGGGTCGCTGCGGCGCAGGCAGTGGGCTGCAGCGCGGCTCGAGCAGGCGGCGCGACGACTTCTGCCGACGTGGAGCTCCAAGAGGGCGGTGGGGCAAGAGCAGCGGCCACAATGTCCGCCGCGACCATGGCGCACTCACCTGCGGTGGCTTCCGCCGCCGCGATCTCGGGAGTCGTGTTCGGCACAGGGTCGGCTGCGCACGAAGTCTGCATTGTTGGAGGCGTCTCTGGCTGCAGTGATTGCCGTGGGCGGTGGCGACGCAGGGGCCGAAGGCGTGCTCGGCGCTGCAAGCGGCGGCGCCGACGCCTTTTCAGGCGCGGCGCGTTGGCCAGGACCAATCGATTCGGAAGGCGACGCCGCCGCCGCGAAAGAAGGTGGCGCTGCGCCCGCCGGGTCGAGCGCTGAGGCCTCCGATGCCCCGAGCGCCGCGGGCTCCGGGGCGGGCGCCTCATGGCCCAATTCGGGCGCGCGCGCATCGCCGAACGCGGCGGGGCGGAGGCGCGCTTCCATATTTAGATGCGGCGCGTTGAGCTGCGCGCGGGAAATGCGCGCAAAAGTGCAGACAAGCCTCTCGCCCATTCAGTTTTTCCTGGCCACGCAACGTCAGCCCAGCCATGCACCCCCTTCGGGCGACATGTCGGCTGCGAAAGTTTCCACCACAATTTCGCGCGAATATCATCCCCCTTGTCGTCAACCACCTTGAATTCCCCTTCCCTTCGCTAGCTCGCGAAGGCCCAGCTGCCCATCCGCGGCGGACGCGGGCGCGGATCGCGGCGCGCCCCGCAAACGCGAGGTGCAAACGCAAATGCGCCTTGAGCCTGGGGCCCACGAAGAGGGCGAGGCGAGGGGGAAGAAGAAACCAGAAAAAATGAAAGACGGAGGGAATCGACAAACAAGGACGAGGCGAAAGGGGGGGGAAGAGAAAGGAGGAGGAGGACCAGGGGGGAGGACAATGAGGAGCAGGAAGAGGGGAGCCAGGGAGGGCAAGGGCGAGAAGGTTGAGGAGGAGGAAACATGAATAGCAGGAGGGGGGGGGGGGGGCAGGGGGGAGACGGTCGGAACGATAATTTCTCGCGCGCGAAGCGGCAGCAAGTCGGCGGCCGCAATCCTTGAATGGCCAAGCCATTCCGCGCATAACTTAAGAAAACGCAGCGATTAAAAACCCCATGTGCCAGCGCTGCTGGCTCCCAGGGGCCCCGCCGACACCGTCGCCGCGGTCCAGGGGTCACCGTCGCCATGGCTTCAGGCGCCACCTGGCCCTGCCGAATCCGCAGGAATCAGCGGCACCCCCTTCAGCTGGTTCTGAACGCGCACGATCTGAACCACCCGCGCCACGTCCTCCAAGGCAACCCAGATCTGCTTGCGACCCTCGATGCACAGGGGGCAGTTCGCGAACCTCCTCGCAGTTCGGGCCCTCTTCGGGGCGGCGCTCTGGCAGTTGAACTCTGACGACCTTTTTCTTGCTGTGGTTGTTGTAATAGCGGGCGCGATTGATTGCTTCGCCGTCTACCTTCGTGTTCGGCGGGCTGGTTCCGTCGGCCTGCTCTATCTCAGCCATCGGTTCATATTCGCACCCCTGCTGCTGCGCCGCTGCCGCGGCTGGCTCAGGCGCAGAGTCTCCAGCAAGTTCGCGCGGCCGAACGAACTCGCGCTGTACTTCGCTTGGCCAGTCGTGGCAGTGAGCAGCCAAGTCTCACTAGTTGCGAGCTTCGCGAATGTCTTCTCTTCGGCGCCGATATCACTGCGATGCGCGTTCGTTGCCATAGGCATAGGATCGCTAGCATGCCGCCTGTGAAGTGAATCTTTCCGAATTCGAGCTGCGCCGGCCGAAACTTCTCCAAATTTGCCCCTGCCGTTGTGAAGAGCCGATCGCTACCGCCACGGCCCCCGCAATCGCGAAGATACGCGCGCGCGTGGCCCGCCGCCGCGGAATGCGCTCGAGCCAAAAAAGCGGACGACGAAGAGGAAGAGCAGGAGGGGGAAAGGTCGCCAGGAGGGAAGGAAAAACTAAAGGAAGAGGGGGGGGGGGGGGGCGGAAGAGGGGGGGGGGGGGGGGGATTGCAAACAGGGCCGGACACCCAGGAGAAGGAAACAAACATGAGGAGGAGGCAGACAAGCAGGGCCGGGCAACTAGTTCCAGGGGGGGGGGGGGGGGAGGAGCAGGGCCGGCCAACGAAGGTTGTCAGTGACATCCTTAGGCAGGGGGGCAAATGTCAACGACGCCCCTGGGCAGGGGAAAGAATGCCAGCAACATCCTTCGCCAGGGGAACGAATGCCAGTGACGACCTTCGCCCGGGAACGAATGTCACTCACGTCTTTCGTCGGCGGATAGGGGGGGAGGCCCTCGAAGCGGCCTCGCCCTGGGGGAGGGGGGGGGGGCGAGGCGGGCGAGGGGGGGGAGAGGCAGCAGATGGAGAATGAATAGGAGGAGGAAGTGGATGATGACGGGGATCGCAGGGCCCAATTCTCCTATGCAAATCGCGCCGCGCTCGCTGGTCCCAAGCCGCCGATGGGGCTAAACCTTGCCACCGCGAATGCGCTCGAAACCTCGCCACCGCGAGTGCGCCGCGAAACCTCGCCACCACGAGTGTGCTACCACTGCCGCTCACTGATCCACCACCTCTGTGTTTCGCTGGAGTCAACACCATTCCACCAATGCCCGCCTGGCGCCCAGAGCCAAGCGCTGCTGGCTGGAGTCGAAGTTGGACTGCGCGGGATCGACGGGGAGGACGAGTGGCTGGCGCGGCCCCCCCGGCCGCTGCCCCCCCCCCCCCCCGCGCACGCGCGCGCTCGCAAGCGCGCGACCCCGCCATCCGTGGCCGCGCTCCTCCCAGCGCGGCCTCGCCGCCCCACCACCGCCCGGGCGCCTCCACGCGCCCATCGCCTCCGCTTGCCCAGCGCGCCCAGACGGGGCCGCGCACGCCGCGTCAGCCCACGCTGGCCATGGCGCGGCCTCAACGGAGGCAGCGGCCAGAACGGGCTGCTCCGCTGGACCCCCTGCCCCCGCTACCGC